GACTAATTATAATCTGATGAGTTTGTGTGAAAACTACAGTGAGAGAGGTTGGGTTAAACCATCAGGAGGTTACAGAAATGATTCCTATACCAATGAGTCCCATAAGGTGAGGTTGCTTTTAGTTATTTAATTGTCTGTGTTTAACAACATTACATGTAGTGTGGTGGTGAAGACTGGCCCATGTGGTCCGATCCATGAACCTGTCTTTGGTTCACTGCTTTTCCTTCCTTGGACCTTTCTGATAGGTCTGACCCCATGCAGACCCACAGAGCCTGCAGTTTTGGCAGATGCCTGTGACCCAGTCGTCTGCTTGTCAAGATCGCTCAAAGATCCTCATCGTACTTTTTTCTGCTATCATAAACAATCAAAAACCTGAGGCAAAAGGTTCATTGCTGCCATGATACTCTCCACCACTGACAGCGCCCATGATAACCAGCCTATCTCAGTGTTTATTACTTCACCTGTCAGTAGCCTCATAATGTTATCGGCTGATCGGTGTAATAAACTTTTTTGCATGGTTGATAATTTGGTTATTCTAAAATATTACAAAATCTATTTGCTCATTTATATCATAATGCATTTTTTAATTAACTCTCATGTCCAGTTGACAAGAATGATGCATTTTTAACCAAATGTAACAATAGCTTAAAGTTTTGTGCGCATTTTTATTTAGACCTCTAACAGTGATTAGTAATCATGAGTCTTGGGTTTGGTAGAGCAAAAAATATCTCATCCATACTTCTTGTGATAGCTGTTGTGATTTTAGAAAATGTACCTTATCACTCCTAAAATTCCATGTTTTTCTTTAACAAATTAAAATTATGTTTTCATTTCAGACTCCTTACAGGAACATCAAAGAGAAGAAGGAGGCTTTTGAAAAAGTCAAACACGTTCATGATTCATCCATTAAGTACATTAAGGTTTGTCAGCAGTTGTACGCATCTTTTTAATCTAGTCAGTCAAATCTGAAATACATTGAGACATGAAGAGGATGATCAGTTCTTGTGATGTATAGAGTCAGAACCACGACATAGAGAAGAAGTTTAAGGACGACTTTAAGAAGCTGCACACCATCTTCAAGAAAGAGGAAGAAACCAGACTAGCTGCATTAAGAAAAGAAGGGACTCAGAAGATTTGTATGATTGAAAGGATCACAGAGTTGAGCACAAGCACACTGTCGCTCTTTGACACTGTGAAAGAGATAGAAGACTTAGGAGCTGACAAATCACTCATACAGGTAATTATTCAAACTCAAAAAAGGTCTAATTCATACATGTAATCTGAAGGCTGCTGATGCATTTCTTGTTTTATTTTCAGCCCTACAAGAAGCAATTGGAAAGGTGTGTATTATTCATCTTCTTTTCTTGTGTGTCTGTAAGGTTAGTAAAGGATTAAAGTAAGTGATTCCAGGTAGGGATGCAGGGATGATAACCAACACAAAATTTAGCCGATGTAAAATTGATTCAACGCAACAGGTATCAGGTATCAGCCACTGATACGATGAATACCACCCTATTTGCTGATCGATGTCAGTCAACAAAGTGAATGTCAGCCAATACTGATGTCAGGTCGATAAATCTGTGCGTCCCTAATTCTAAATAATGCATTTAAAATCCAATGCACGTTTTATAAATTATTTATAAATTCAGTTAATATCTCCTTACGGTGCACTATGATTTTTCACTCTGTAAATGGGAAACAAACAAAGTCGATTGCTCTGAGCCAATGTGAGCTAATGTTAGTTACATTATACATCATCAAGGTATTTGTCATGGTATTGGATTTATCCACAATTAAATACTCAATACACAATACTCCACCTTTAATTCAGGTTTTTAAAAGTCTGCCTCTCACATAGCTACATTGAAAGATTTATTGGTTGCTGTAATCATCCCTCCTGTCCATAGTGACCATGAAGATATCCTTCCTCAGACAGTAAGAGATATAGTCTTCGTTCTCTGCAAAAATGCAGTCTTAATATTTGGGGAAGCATGTTTATTTGCTTTCCTGATGAAAGATGAGAATATTATTACCTACCCACGTCACTAAGCTAAATATTAAGCTACAGCCAGCAGATAGTAAACTTAGTTTTGCATAAAAACTTTGGGAAACAGCTAGCCTGGCTCTGTCTGAAGGTAATAAAAAAATGCCTACCACCACCTAAATCTCACTAATTAAAAAAATTGTACAAACTGTACCGAAACTCAAGTGTAAAAACAATATGTTTTGGGTTTACTGGTTCATATATCCACTGTTTTGATGCAACTTTAGAATTAAATTCTGCATAGTATGAGGACTGCAGATTTTGTCCACAATTCCTATTGTGTGTTTTTGATTTTACTTTGTTTCTAAATTTGCAGTGTATTTACTTTCAAAGTGTTTTTTCATTTAAAGCCTGCTTCTGTTGTTGTATTGGTTTGGGATTTTTCTGTGTTTTTGAATTGGCATGGTTTATGAAGCTGCAGCATGTTTCTCCCAATTAAACTGTTTTGGGCATGTTTTGCCATTGTTGGCCACTGTACATGTGAGTATGGTTTTCTTTTCCAAAAGAGCAAACTTGGGCGCCCAGTTAGCTCAGTGGGTAGAGCTGGCGACCCATGTACCAAGTCCTTGCTGCAGCGGTCGAGGGTTCGACTCCGACCTGTGGCCCTTTGCTGCATGTCATCCCTCCTCTCTACTCTCTTTCCTGTCTGTCTCCAGCTGTCACTATCATAAAACCCCAAAAATACTTTGAAAAGAAAGAATGAATGTATCCCTTTAACTCTTGAATTTGCTCCAGAGCTCAGAGTGCACTGCCAGATCCACAGCAACTTTCACAAGCCCTGATAAATGAATCCAGTCATGTGGAAAACCTTCAGGTCAGAGTCTTGGAGAGTGTTTTGAGCAATATTAAAGATGGTAAGTTTTTGGGGCACATTAAGATCTGAATTAATACATATTTTGTCTTTAGTCATGAAATTCACCATTGAAGTGTTGTTTGTTTTGTACTTGGTGTTTGATTTGTAGCCCCTGGGTGTGTGAGCCATGTATCTCCAGAGCCCCCTGAGTCTGACGATGCAGAATGCAAAATAAACCATCATGAAGATGATAAATCTGATAAAGGTGGGATTTTACTCAATATTCCTCATCGGTAACGCCTCCTGGCCATGTTGGTGTCAGGGAGGGGTGTCTTCATAAACTGAAATTGACTGTGTGTGTATTGTGTAAACAGAAAAAGGCGCTAAAATTTAGCTTGTTTTTAGCTTGACTACAGGATTTACTTTGCATTTTTCAATAAGAAACATTTAACCATCGACCAACAAAATATCAGCGTCAGCTAAGTTACAGTATCTTCAGTTATGGGAGATATCAGCATATCTTTAGAAAATACTTAAACAACATATTATAAATATAAATATTAAACAAGCGTTCACTTCCTGTTTTATTTTATACTTCTCTCGTTTTCAGATGCAGGCACTTCCGGCTTCCCTTGCTGCACCATTCTCTGATTAGTTGCCACCTTTTGATTCTGTCATTTGATCCTTTTGGGTTTATTTGCCTGCACTGATTGGAATTGGACTGTGTACCGCAAGTAAAGAACTGTGTTTTTTCGCTCAAGTTTTGGTGTGTTGAGCATTTGAGTCTTGTTTCCTGGTTCAACAATATGTCAATACAAGTATAGAATATGTATGAAACTGAAGCACCATGACATAAACAATGTCAATGTCTATGAATGCCCTTACTCTTCAGTTGTACTTTAAATACACATTGACCACTCAAACAAAAACTGTCGATCTTCATTCAGTTACTGTGACTAACCCCAGTTCAACACTGTAATCACATAGCAAATAAAGCAATAAGAAACAACCTTCCAGTGACAAAATATTACATTACACCTTTAGTTCCTCCTACTCCATTGTCACACATTCACTAATTAACCTAACATATCTTCTAAAGTCAGTAAAATGCCCATATATAAGAATTTAAAGAAGCATTTCACCCATGGAAACATTAATCTTTATTGAAAGTGGGTTATATATGTAGTCGAAATGTAACATAAATTTTGAATTTGGTGCCTATTTGACCGAGAAAAGAGTGTTTGTAGTCTCAC